AATTCTACCAGCGACTATTTCAGGGAAGGAGCTGATTGGCTCAATGGACATCGTGTTACACTGTTTGTTGTCCTACTGCCGTTGTACCCTTCTTATCGTGTTCTTCCTTTGGGAACTCACACAAGGCGTTATTAGGCGGTAATATATCAGCCTGGGCTTCCGTTACAACAATGCGGACTAAAAGTAGTAGTTCTCGCGATCGCCGCTGGGGTCGGACTGCCACGGCATCATAGCACCAATGATAACCTCCCCCCCTCTCGCCCTAGCGGTGATCGCGAGAGCTGATAATTGTTTTACGCATGTCATGGCGTGGTCATTACGGAGGATGGATAGTGCGCACGTTGTGCCTCAACCATCCTTATCTGCGGTTGTCTATGATGATGGGTTCGAGCTAAAATCCGAAATGTCGGGCCAATGCCCTTTCTGTTCCACCGATCGCATCTTCTCATTCTGAGCGTAACCCTATCCTTAACCCTGACCGTAGCCCTCACATTACTTTAGCCCTGGCCCCATCCTTAATACAGCTTTTCCTGGAATGTAACGCCACAGCAACTTGTCCCATGGCCTGCCGGGGTGGCGCATTAACTATATTCATCTAAGAATGTACTTAAACGTGGTCATCGATGATAAAAGGTACGCAAAATACCATATGTCGTAAGCGATGTCATATATATTGCTTTCCTCATCCCCGGAAGAGGAAGAAAAAGATGAGGCAAGTCCTGAGACCAAGTTGTATTTAAGATGACGACGCCAACAGGAGAATAGAGGCCACGCTTTGACGATGGAAGCGACAATGCTTTTGAAACGTCAGTATAAATACAGCTTGGTCTCAGGAATTGCCCCATCTGCTTCCTCTTCCGGAGGATGGTGAAAACAATATTATTTCTGGACGTCGAATATTTGCGCATATTAAGATAGATATATCTCACCGAAATATTCAGAGTCAGAAAAAAAGCCACTGAGAGTCAGCTTGCCTGTATGTTTGCTGTTTTACGAACCGCTTTAAAGAAATGAGGGGATTTCTTGTTGTAAATCTGTCAAAACTGGATTGAAGCCTTGTACAAATTTTTAAAGCTCTTTTCCTCATAGTCACTTGTTCTGACAAAACGTTAAGACAACTCCACTGATCAAAACAGGCGTTTACAAACAGTTTGGTCACATTTTAAAGTACTCAACAGACCCTCTAGTTTGCCAATACGACAAAGGAAGTTTTAGGTACTTCCACTAAGATTTGACCAGCTGGTTTTCTAGTGCAGCATCTGTGCCTACTAATTTCTGAAGTACCACGTCCTGTTACATTCTGATTTTGTACGAACACTGTCGCTTATCAGGTCTCCGTGTTCATAGAAAGTGGAAGGTGGTGTGATCTTTGTAAACCGCTAACTGAGGCACCAAATGTTGATTCATTTAACTCACTAATAAAAACCTCAGCGGCCTCGGGAGGTTTCGGACGCACAACTGCATCGCAAGGCTTAAGTACGGCCAACACTCTACTCACTTTAGAGTCCAGGGCTCCTGTCATAAACATCTATTCAGTAACTGACCTTGGTAGTCCTCTGGTCGATTGAGTGTGAATTTAAAGATTGCGTATACAGCAGAATTTATTGGAACCATAAATTTCGCGAGTGCTC